TAATTTCCTTATATAATTTAAGACGTTTAATATAATTTTCGTTGCCATAGAAAAATTTAATATTAATTTAAAATATTTTAACTCATTATTCTTTAATTTAACATTTATTTTTTCAAAAACTAGATTTTGTTTGGTTTTATATTATTTTAAATTTTAAAATATCTTTGGCCATATAGTGCTTTTTGCGTTATAGTCCTTCCTAATAGTGAGAATTAATAGTGAGAGTTTATAGTGAGAGTTAACACAATATCTTTAAAAGCAGAGTCGGTCAGAAATCAAATTTTATACAAGTTGGAACTTTCGGAAACTTGAAATTCGACAGAACTCTTTAGAAGTTATTTTTAAAAAACAAATTATAATGTTTAATATTATATTCTTTTGCAATATACCCTCTCCCTCCTAATGGGATATACTAGTTAGAATTAAGATGACCTTGAGTTTAAAAGGACGATTTCGATGGAAATAAGAACTTTCGGAAATCTGAACCTCGACAGAATTCTGTTAGAAGTAAAAGAAATAAATTTAGAATGTTATCTATTATAATGCTAATAATCTCCTTATATAATTTAAGGCTGGCATATGTCTCTTCTAAATTCATTTGAGAATTCAGAATCTAACGACAGTATCAATAATATTTCACCATTTAATTCACTTGGATTTAGTACTAATGATTATATCAGTTTAGAGGATTTAGAAAATCAGCTTGATAAAGAAGCCCTTTTATGTTTTTCTAAAACTCCAAACAACAATAATGATAAAGCAGTTATTATTAAGGAAAACAATAATGAAAAGAATACCAAATTGGTATTAATTTTGTTAATTATTTTTCCAAATTTTTGTTAGTCTGACCCTATAAATTAGGCAAGCATTTGTATATTGGGTAAATCAGAACTGATAAGTGTACTACTTATCAGAGGTGGGTGGAATAGTCAGAGGCGTCGGAAATCGGAAGAACCGTAAATTGGAACTGGATCAAAAGTCGGAACTCGGAAATCAAAATTTTTTCGGAAATCAGAAGGAAAAAAAACGCCGGAAATCGGAAATTGAGGAATAATTTTTGAGAAATATTTTATTATATTATTTTTCAGAGCAGGAAGGTTAGGCCAACTGATTGTGTTGTTTGTGCTAGACCAACAAAATGTTGCCATTTTGATGTTCCAAGTTGTTTAGGTACGTCAGAGCTTTTCCAAAATCAAATTAATTTTGCCTTCAACATAACATAAACTGAATATTTAACTTGTGTACAGGTTGCCGTTCATTTTTTCGTCGATCTGTACTAAATCAACGCTCGTACATTTGTAAGAAGAATGCTAATTGCCAAATTGGAAAAGGTATTCAGAAAATTTTAAGCAATTTTGAACTTAAAATATTAAAAATTGAAGGGGAACTTTGCCGTTCATGCCGTTTTGATCGTTGTCTTCTAGGTGGAATGGACTTTAGAACTATACAAAAATTTCCGGATGGATTTAATATAGAGCAAATGTCTGCATTATTAACGGAGAAAAAACGTCAACTTAATGAAAAATCTTCATTAATGGTAACGGATTTTGCAGGGATGAGCCTTGTTAGGATCCAGGGGTGATCCGTGCCAGATTTCTTAGACATTGCTTGGTTCATGGCGGGTTTTCGAAAATTTCTTGGATAGGGTTTCGGGTTTCTTATAACCTGAACCATCACTTATTCATATCTTAGATAAAAATTTTGGCTCGATTCTTCCTTCGAGATTGGTCAATACAAGACATCAAGCATAATTTCTTTCAAACCATTTTTATTATCATTATTTTAGAAAAAAGAAATTGTAGTTAGAACAGAACGACCTGAAGTTGAATTATTACAAATCTTGTTATGCACTGACAATAATCTATTGCATATTCGTCACTCAAAGACAGATTTTTCTTCATCAATTTTTTATTATAAAAGTATATCTGATATTATAATTGGTGGAGGAGGTTTAACTTATTCTATCTTGTCAAGAACTGATCAATTCTCGGTAGAATAAATTCATTTTATAATTATTACTGAAATTTATTAGAATCAGAGGAGAGTACCTAAAAGCCTTGACTTTTACCAAAAACGAATGCGGGAATGTGACAAAAGCATAACACCAAATTGGCTTTTCATTGACTCATTTTTAATCATTGAAATGACAAAAACATTGCCAGTATTCAGTCAACTCTCATTTGAAGACAAAGTTAATTAAAGAAATATTTAAAAAAATTTATAAAATACAAAAATTTAGCTTCGGCTTTATACTCGAAATGGTCTTGCAACAATTGTTTTTAGTCAATTATATTACAGTTTAAACCTTCATGGAAGCGAGATTCTTATATTTCCCAATGGATTTAGTCCTCTATTATTACAGTCACATACGGCAATTTCTCATCTTATATTCTACAAGCATATAATAAAAATGAAAGAATTTAATCTGAGCAGAGAAGAATTTTTGCTTATTAGAACATTAATTTTTCTTCACACAGGTTCGAGCAGAAATAAATACATTCGAAAGATATAGTTTAGTATACCGGAGTTTTAGTTTCGACACAAACCCTTGCCGTTCGATTCGTCTCAACGAGTTGAGTCGTGCGTTGCCACTCTTTTTTCCGGAGCTGACTTTAAACCAAAATATAGGTCCTAGGAAGTCGTAAATCCATAGGGAGGAATAAGCTCAATTTAGATGTCCTTACATAGGTTTGAGCATAAAAAAATACATCAAAGATATCAGGGCTGCACGCTCATGAAAAAATTTTCCGCAGCCGCAATCCACACTGCGTACAGCCCTGAAAGGTATATTTTAGCTAAATCAGACTTGTCAATGATTGGATATGAAATAGTGCAAACTGAAATTGAAAAACTTTCCAAAGCTTTAATGTTTTACGAATGTTGCAAATGGGGTGATACAGGCGGGGCACAGAGATTTGTTGATTTGGTAAAATATTTTATTATATTGATATATTTTTTCACTAATTTAAAATTTGATAGATGCTGACCTTAAATGCAGCATTTCAATTCGACAAAACTCATCGAAAATTTCTAAATCAGAATATTAAGCTGCGGAATATAATTCCCCCTAAATTTATGCATGTAATATTAGAACATTCTGATGAAAGAACTTTAAGCTAAGGATTGTGATATTACTAGGGATCGGGTAGTTAGACAATTGTGGGTTGGACTATTGGACATAAATGTGAATAAATAATAAAAAAACAATTTAAATGCTAAATCGGTCGGCAGAAGCCTTCCGTTCTCTTTTTCGTTACACATACTATATTTTAGCTTATTGGCAAGCAGTTTTTATTTAAACAAAAAATGTTTAAACATTATAATTATAAAATTTATTTGATATTTACGAGTTTTATTAAAAAGCTTATACGAGTTTATTACAAGTTTTATTAAAAAACTAATTCATTAGACATTTAAATTCGTGCTTTTTCCTCTACACTTCATTGTTCAATTAAATTTTTGTTGCCATAGAAAATTTAATTTTATTTAAAATATTTTAACTTTTTATTTTCTAATTTAACAATTTTTTTCAAAAATCAAATTATAATGTTTGGTATTATTTTCTCTGGCAATAGTTCCTCTTAATGGGATATTCTAATGGGATATCCCATTATTCACTCCTAATGGGATATAGTTAGAGTTAAGGGGACCTTAGAGTTTATAAGGACAATTTCAATGGAAATTGGAACTATCGGAAATCTAAATTTCGACAGGAATCTATTAGAAGTAAAAGAAAAAAAAATTTTTTTTAGAAAGTTAAAAGGAAGTAATTAATATAAAGCGAATAATAAAGCTAATAATTTCCTTATATAATTTAAGGCGTTCAATTAAATTTTCGTTGCCATAGAAAAATTTAATATTAATTTAAAATATTTTAACTCATTTATTCTTTAATTTAACAATTTTTTCTCAAAAACCAAATTATGTTTGGTTTTATTTTATTTTAAATTTTAAATTATCTTCTTTGGTCATATAGTGCTTTTTGCGTTATAGCCCCTTCATACTATGAGAGTTAATAGTGAGAGTTAACAGAATATCTTTAGAAGCTCGTGTCGGTCAGAAATCAAATTTTATACAAGTGGGAACTTTCGGAAATTTGAAATTCGACAGAACTCTGTTAGAAGTAAAAGAAATAAATTTAGAATGTTATCTATCTATTATAATGGTAATAATCTTCTTATATAATTTAAGGCGGGCATATGTCTCTTCTAAATTCATTTCCGAATTCCACTCCACTTCATTGATTTAATTAAATTTTCGTTGCCATAGAAAAATTTGATATTAATTTAAAATATTTTAACTCATTATTTTTTAATTTAACAATTTTTTCTCAAAAACCAAATTATAATGTTTGGTGTTATCTTCTTTGGCAATATAGTTAGAATTAATTCAATACTCAATTCAATTAAGAAAACCTTGAGTTTAAAAGGACGATTCCGCTGGAAATTGGAACTTTAGTAAATTGAATTTCGATATAACTCTGTTAGAAGTAAAAGAAATCAAATTAGAATGTTATCTATTATAATGCTAATAATTTCTTTATATAATTTAAGGCATAAACCTGGCATATGTCTTTTCTAAATTCATTTGAAAATTCAGAATCTAACAACAGTATCTGTAATATTTCATCATTTCATTCACTTGGATTTAGTACTAATGATTATATCAGTTTAGAGGATTTAGAAAATCAACTTGATAAAGAAGCCCTTTTATGTTTTTCTAAAAACCCAAACAACAATAACGATAAAACAATTATTATTAAGGAAAACAATAATGAAAAGAATACCAAATTGGTATTAATTTTGTTAATTATTTTTCCAAATTTTTATTAGTCTGACCCTCTAAATTAGGCAAGCATTTGTATATTGCTTAAATCATAACTGATAAGTGTAATACTTTTCAAAGGTGGGTCGGAACAGTTAGAGGTGTCGGAAATCAGAAGAGCCGGAAATCAGAACTGGCTCAAGAGTCGGAACTCGGAAATCAAATTTTTTCGGAAATCGGACGGAAAAAACGCCGGAACTCGGAAATTGAGGAATAATTTTTAAGGGATATTTTATTACATTATTTTTCAGAGCAGGAAGGTTAGGCCAACTGATTGTGTTGTTTGTGCCAGACCAACAAAGTGTTGCCATTTTGATGTTCCAAGTTGTTTAGGTACGTCAGAGCTTTTCCAAAATCAAATAAAATTTTGTCCTCAAAATATCATAAACTGAATATTTAACTTGTGTACAGGTTGCCGTTCATTCTTTCGTCGATCTGTACTAAATCAACGCTCGTACATTTGTAAGAAGAATGCAAATTGCCAAATTGAAAAAGGTATTCTTAAAAGTTTAATCAATTTTGAACTTAAAATATTAAAAAATTGAAGAGGAACGTTGCCGTTCATGCCGTTTTGATCGTTGTCTTCTAGGTGGAATGGACTTTAGAACTATACAAAAATTTCCGGATGGATTTATTATAGAGCAAATGTCTGCATTATTAACGGAGAAAAAACGTCGACTTGAGGAAAAATCTTCAATAATGGTAACGTATTTTGCAGGAATGAGCCTTGTTAGGATCCAGGGGTGATCCGTGCCAGATTTCTTAGACATTGCTTGGTTCATGGCGGGTTTTCGAAAATTTCTTGGATAGGGTTTCGGGTTTCTTATAACCTGAACCATCACTTATTCATATCTTAGATAAAAATTTTGGCTCGATTCTTCCTTCGAGATTGGTCAATACAAGACATCAAGCATAATTTCTTTCAAACCATTTTTATTATCATTATTTTAGAAAAAAGAAATTGTAGTTAGAACAGAACGACCTGAAGTTGAATTATTACAAATCTTGTTCTACTCAGACAATAATCTTTTGCACATTCGTTACTCCGAGACAGACCTTTCTTCATCAATTTTTTATTATAAAAGTATATCTGATATTATAATTGGTGGAGGAGGTTTAACTTATTCTATCTTGTCAAGATCTGATCAATTTTCGGTAGAATAAGTTCACTTTATAATTATTATTGAAATTTATTAGAATCAGAGGAGAGTACCTAAAAGTCTTGACTTTTACCAAGAACGATTGAGGGAAAGTAACACGCGGATAGTTGAAGGCCCTGTATCTCCAAATTGGCTTTTCATCGACTCATTTTTAATTATTGAAATGACAAAAACATTGCCAGTATTAAGTCAACTTTCATTTGAAGACAAAGTTTATTGAAGAAATTTTAAAAACTTATAAGACACAAAAATTTAGCTTCGGCTTTATACTCGAAATGGACTGGCAACAATTGTTTTTAGTCAATTATTTTACAGTTTAAACATTCAAGGAAGCGAGATACTTATATTTCCTAATGGATTTAGTCCTTTATTATTTTCTAATCATTTGAAACTTTTTCATCTTGTATTCTACAAGCATATGATCAAAATGAAAGAATTTAATCTGAGCAGAGAAGAATTTTTGATTATTCGAACATTAATTTTCCTTCACACAGGTTTGAACAGAAATAAATATATTCAGAGGTATATGCAAATTTCAGCGAAATCAGACTTGTCAATTATTGGATATGAAATAGTACAAACTGAAATTGAAAAACTTTCCAAAGCTTTAATGTTTTACGAATGTTGCAAATGGGGTGATGCTAGCGGGGCAGTGAGACTTGTTAATTTGGTAAAATACTTTATTATAATGGATATATTTTTTCACGAATTTAAAATTTGATAGATGATGACCTTAAATGCAGCATTTCAATTTGACAAAACTCATCGAAAACTTCTAGAACAGGATAGTAATATGCAGAATATGTTTCTCCCTAAATTTATGCATGAAATATTTGGACATTCCGATGAAAGAACTTTAAGCTAAGAACTGTGATCTTTACTAGGGTTCGGGTAGTTTGACAATTGTGGTTCCGCAAGTCTGTCATTATGGACATTTTCATATTCAATATTTATTCAAACTGTCTGTAGTCTAGTCGAGGGCCCGCTACGAACGTCATTCGATTGCCCGCTACGAACGTCATTCGAAAATGTCATTCGATTCGTCTCAGCAAGCTGAGTCGAACTGTACCACTTATCTTTCCGGAGAAGAAGTATCTATAAAATACTTCTTTTTAATTTATTAGTTTACTATTAAAATATAAAATCGTGAATGGGTTTAGATAAGAAAATAATTTTTTAATCGACATTAAGATTCCATTAATGAAAAAATATTTTTAATGGAGTAACGTAACACAATGCTATTCTAATTCAATGTTAATGTTTTAATAATCACCCTTAAAATATTGCAACTATGCGAAAGAAATTTCAATGGAATACAAACAATAAAGTTATTCCTAATATACTTATTTTAATCGTTTTTTAATTTTAATATGTAGTTATGCAGCTTGAATTTTCTTTTGATAAAATTTAATTAGTAATTTCACTATTAAATTGTTACAAACAAATATTTATAAAATAAGAATAATTTATTTTCAGAAAAATAAATAATAAAGAGAAATATAATGAAAAATTATATTTTAAAATTTATAGCATAATTTAATATAATTTTCAATATCATGAAAATTCAGACATATCACTCAATTGATAACCCATTTGGAAATTATCTACGAAACGTAGAATGACAGTATTGAACAAGAATATACAAATCAAACACACCAACTTATAATAAATATTTAAGAATATATTATAATATATGTAAACAATAACATAAAAATTATAAAATTAAGAAATTACAATAAGTTTTAAGTCTTATTAATTATGCTATGACTAAGCATCATTTTTATTATGAGATGATAAATAAAGCGATAAATAATATATTATATTAGGTATTTACATTAAAACATTATATTATAAAAAATATTATTGAAATAATTCATTAAATTAAAAAATTTAGTTAAATAATTTAATTTAGACATTTATTTTAAAAATTTTTAAAATATTGAACAATCTGTAATTATTCGGAATTCAAATTTTTCTTCTTTTAGAATTTTCTTCATTTTCAAAATTTTCTTCCCACTTCTCAAAAATTTCTACTTCTTGAATAAGAATTTTTTAATTTGAAATTTCTATGCTGAAAATTTTATCAAAACATCCACAAGTAAGTTATTCAAATTTTTTTTAGAATTTTGAAATTGATTATTTCTTTTATTAAATATATTTTTTGTTGTTTCTAGACTAGAGCTGTTATGAAGTAAAATCGAAATTTCGAAACGGCTCTGTTTAAACTATTACATAATTCTTTTTAAATTCTTAGAAATATGGGAATATGGAAATATTATTTAAGAATTAAGCAAATATTCGTTAAATTTTATTATTTTAATTAAATAATTAGAGTAAACAGGCAAACAGGTCCCATTTACAATTTACAAAACTGTGAAATTAAATATTCCTCCATTATATTAACATTCAATTAATTCATTTTTATTTGTTTATCAGAAAAGTGTTATTTTCATAATATCATTTTTGATAATCAATTTTTTAATATATTATAAACTATTTGTGTTATCTTTTCGATTATTATATTATTTAATTTTATATTTAATTTGTTAATTCAGATAAGTGTTTATTAATAATATGATAAAAATGAAAGTAAGTTTTTTTATATTTACAGATTTTGTTTATATACATTACCAAAATTTATACTTTTCTTCATTCATAATAATCAAATTTATTCAATTTTTAATTTTTAACTAGATTATTTTCTATTTAATAATATTTGATAAACTTGTTTCTGAAAATAAAAATTCTTAAGTGATAATTCCAATTTCGTTATTGTGTTTAGATACAATTTAATATAACCATTTGAGATTTTTATAACGATTTGAAATTTTTTTATCACAAGATTATATAACTATAATAGCTTATGTTATCAATTATAGATTTTATTAAAAGAAATTTTAACAATTATAAAATAAAAAATTTACTAATTTTTTAAAGTCTATACCATCTGTTTTTAATTAGTTAATATTTTAAAAATAGGAAGAAGAATATAATATTAATTTTTTAAAATAACTTGATCCCTTTTGGTAATTTATAAGAATTTCCTATACCTTTTATCCACAATTTTACCAGGAGAATATAAGTTTTCTGAAAATTGTCATTTATAATTTATATTATTCCAAAACTATTATACTTATATGAAATTTTTATAATTGCATTAAATTTTATCTTATTGTTGATTTTGCGATAATCATAATTTTCTATATAATTATTTGAACTAATTATTTGTTCATCATCAATAATTTTTCCGACAGATGTATAAATATTTGCTAGGCAAATGCTAGTTATTTAAAAATAAATCTCAAGAAATTGTGTAAAAATATATTATTTTTTTAAATAACTTCTAAAATTTATTCCATAACAAGATTTTTATTAACAATAAGATTTAATTATATTAAATGTGACAATTCAGACAGAATTTATAAAACTGATATGTTATTTTACGTTTTAATTTATCTTTGAATATTTAAAGCATTTGTAATCATAAAAATCATTTTTAATTCTTTAAGCAAATAATAAATAATAATAAATATCAGTAATTTGAATTTAAATATTTAATTTACTAAAAAGCTTTTCAACACAATTATTGGATTATAATTTAAATATTTATATTTTCAAAAAATAATACACCGTATTATCGTTTATTATTTCATATTTGTATATAAAACATGTCTTCTTGACATCTCTTTTTAATTTTTTTAACAAGTAGGGATTCTATAATGTAATTATTTTCATTTCCTGATTTTACTAAATAAAATAAATTTTATGTAGTTCATAAAAATATAATTTTATAAATGTATTTTATTTTATAAATATATTTAATTAATATTATTTAAAGATATAATTATAAAATAAGTCAAGAAATTAAAAATTTTCTCCTAGTTCAAATCAAACAAACGGCTATCCGACATTTGGGGATCAGACTTTTGGGGACCCGACAGTTGGGGACGACTTTTGGGGATACGACTTTTGGGGACCCGACACTTAGGGACCCGACAATTGGGGACCCGACATTTGGGGACGAAATAAAATTTTAAAAAAATTTGAAAATCTACCTAAAGCGGGGTTTTAATACATAGTCGGATATGAACAAAACATGGTCATTGATTCAGCTCGTTGTCTGAGTCGAATGAGGGTGAAAACCAAGTGCGGGAGTCAAATGTCGAGGGAGTCAAGGATGGGAGTTAACGATCAAGCACGGGCTGTTGACCCCCGCGCTTGATCGTTAACTCCCGCGCTTGGATTTCACCCTCATTCGACTCAGACATCGAGCTGAGTCAATGACCATGTGTTGTTCATATCCGACCATGCATTATAAACATGCTTTAGGAAGATTTTCAAATTTTTTTAAAATTTTATTTCATCCCCAAATGTCGGGTCCCCAATTGTCGGGTCCCTAAGTGTCGAGTCCCTAAAAGTCGGGTCCCTAAGTGTCGGGTCCCCAAAAGTCGGGTCCCGAAAAGTCCGGTCCCCAAAAGTCGTCCCCAACTGCCGGGTCCCCAAAAGTCCGATCCCCAAATGTCGCGCCACGCAAACAAACAATATTTTTTTATTTTTCAAATTTTATATCGAAGAAAAAGTGTGAACAAACAAAAGGATATTTTAAAAATGTTATACTCCCATTAAAATTTATTGTTTTTCTTTTCTTCGCTAGTTTTTCTTTTCTTCACTAGTGTTAATAAATTTATGATTTATTAAGCATGTACATATAATTATAATTTGAAGTGATTAATAAGCAGGATTGACAGACTTCGATTTATGACATCTCTCTGTCATATTAGATATTCTTGTATTTTATTTTGACATTATGTATAAATTTAAAATAATTATTAATTTAAATATTAATGAATAAATAATAATTTTTACTTTATACAAAAAAATTAATAATTCTTAAAAATTTAAATTATTGTAAACAACAAATAAATTATTAAAACACACAAATTTAAATTAAATATTGAATGAGGATATCGGGCCACTTTTTGGACTTATTAGTTAATTTGGGCAAAAGTGGTACTACATAATCAATTAAATTTTGATTTTAAATATTTAAATTTACAAAAAATACATATTATCCTCATCGTTTATTTTTTGATATTTTTTATATAAAATATATGTCGTTATTGACACTGCCTTCCATTTTTTGCACCAAGTCAGAATTCTTTAATTTTGTTTTTTTATTCCCTTATTTTTACTAAATAAATATTAATTTTTTAAATTAAATTTTAATGCTTAATTTTTTTAAACAATATAAATCTATTAAATTTAAATTCTAATTTAAGAAAAATATAATTTTTAAAAGTATTTTTATAATTCTTTTTTGTTATTTTATTTATTAATAATTTTAATATTAATTGAAATTTATAATTAATTAAAAATAAATTATAACGCTCCTGTATTCATTCTCTATATGATTAGTCCCGTCATCTAAACATCATTGTTGCCTATATTGAAATTTTTTACATGATACTTTAAAAACCATTTTAAAGTATACAGAAATGCACCTTATTAAAACTTATATATCTGTTTTTTATTATCAGCTACAAATATTTGACTACTCAATTTTTGTTAATTATTTTTACTAATAATTGTTTTGAGTTTTTTTCTTTAAAATTACATTTAACTTCAATTAAAGTTTAAAATTAAATTACAGCTATAAAATCAAAAATAAGTTTCAAAAATAAATTCCATTGATATTTAAATTTGTTGGCAATTTATTTTTTTGAAAATAATATTAAACTTTATAGTTTTATCCTGTATGGATGTTTATGAATATTAGCAAATAATATAAAAAAATTATTATTCATGTTTGATTCATGTTTGATTAATTTTATACATATAAGAAGTAATAATAATAGGCAAGACTGACGGAATTCGATTTATCATATTTCCCTCTCGTAATTAGATATTCTTGTATTTTATCATGACATTATTATAAATTTAAAATAATTATTAATTTAAATTTGACGAATAAATAATGAATTTTACTTTATAAGAAAAAACTAATAATTCTTAAGCAATTTAAATTGTTGTGGAGAAGATATTCGTCTG